AAAAAACTGCATAACAAAGATACTTTTTTATAGAATACTGTTTATAAAATACACTTTTTTTATAGAAAACTCTTCCACAAATACAAATTTCTATAGAAAACTGTTTAATATAGACACTTTTCTACAGAAAACTGTTTAATATAGACACTTTTCTACAGAAACTGTTTAATAAAGATACTCTTCTATAGAAAACTATTTAAAAAATACATTTTTCTATAGAAACAGGTTAGCCAAGATATTGTATACATATAAAAATGAAATTTTTCTTTAGAGAACTGTTTAATAAAAACTCTTCTATAGGAAATTGTCTAACAAACAAACTTTATCATAGAAACTAGTCGATTAAAGGACAGGTTATTATATTAAAAAAACTTTTTTACAAAGAAAACTTTCTTCTAAAAAAACATTTGAGAAATTTTGAAATTTAAGACTTTTTTATAGTTAAGTAATAATTAAAAGTCATTTCAATATTTTTTTTTATTTTATATTTTTTATATCGTTTTTATTTTCTCTTTATTTTTCATATCATCATTTCTAAATATAATCAATACCAAAGTATTTTTATTTGCTTTTTTTAATCATACCTTTCTTTCTTTTAATAAATGGCATCCTGATTGTGTATTTATTAAATTATTATTTTGTGTTTTTTTCTTTAATAATTAAGTAAAAATATACAATAATATAAATACAGTTTACACAATAATAATTTTTAAGGTAATAATGATAAACTCTCTTAAAGCAGGCAAATTAATTAAACAATTCAAAAAGTTTTGAAATTATTTTATAAATCTTGCAAAAAAAAAAAAAAGAAAAATATTTTTTTTTTTTGTATTTTTTTATTTATTAATATTTATTAACTTATACAAAAAGCATAAGTTTATCTTAATAGATTTCTATACATTATTAAGCAGTAAAAATAATCACATTTTTTTGTAGATATTGTTTGTTTTTTGAAATACAAATGGTTTTCTGTCCAAAAAGTAGTTTTCATAAGAGGATTTTTTTTTGGGGTGGGGGTAGTTAGCTTTTTTAAGTAAATGAGAATTGTAATAAAATAATAAAAATATAACAAAAAATTATGGTAAAAAAAAACTAAAAATTAAAAATAAATTGTAAAACATAAAAATTTGATATTTTATGTAAAACTAAACTAAATAAAATAGCATCTGCAAATAATATATTAAAGTATACATATAAACAAATATAAAAATGTTTGCTTATTAAAATTCTTAAGAGTTTTTTGATTAACATCATTGAAATTTTAGAAAATTTTTTAAAGAAATTATCAAAAACAGAACTAGAACTGAACTAGAACTGAACCAGAACTGAACTAGAACTGAACTAGAACTGATCTAGAACTGAACTAGAACTGAACTAGAACTGAACTAGAACTGAACTAGAACTGAACTAGAACTGAACTAGAATGAACTACTGAACTAGAACTGAACTAGAACTGAACTGAACTAGAACTGAACTAGAACTGAACTAGAACTGAACTAGAACTGAACTAGAACTGAACTAGAACTGAACTAGAACTGAACTAGAACTGAACTAGAACAGAACTAGAACTAGAACAGAACTAGAACTGAACTAGAACAGAACTAGAACAGAACTAGAACAGAACTAGAACAGAACTAGAACTGAACTAGAACAGAACTAGAACAGAACTAGAACTGAACTAGAACTGAACTAGAACAGAACTAGAACAGAACTAGAACTGAACTAGAACTGAACTAGAACTGAACTAGAACTGAACTAGAACTGAGCTAGAACTGAACTAGAACTGAACTAGAACTGAACTAGAACTGAACTAGAACTAGAACTGAACTAGAACTGAACTAGAACTGAACTAGAACTGAACTAGAACTAAACTAGAACTGAACTAGAACTGAACTAGAACTGAACTAGAACTGAACTAGAACTGAACTAGAACTGAACTAGAACTGAACTAGAACTGAACTAGAACTGAACTAGAACTGAACTAGAACTGAACTAGAACTGAACTAGAACTGAACTAGAACTGAACTAGAACTGAACTAGAACTGAACTAGAACTGAACTAGAACTGAACTAGAACTGAACTAGAACTGAACTAGAACTGAACTAGAACTGAACTAGAACTGAACTAGAACTGAACTAGAACTGAACTAGAACTGAACTAGAACTGAACTAGAACTGAACTAGAACTGAACTAGAACTGAACTAGAACTGAACTAGAACTGAACTAGAACTGAACTAGAACTGAACTAGAACTGAACTAGAAACTGAACTAGAACTGAACTAGAACTGAACTAGAACTGAACTAGAACTGAACTAGAACTGAACTAGAACTGAACTAGAACTGAACTAGAACTGAACTAGAACTGAACTAGAACTGAACTAGAACTGAAACTAGAACTGAACTAGAACTGAACTAGAACTGAACTAGAACTGAACTAGAACGGAACTAGAACGGAACTAGAAATGAACTGGAAATGAACTAGAACTGAACTAGAACTGAACTAGAACTGAACTAGAACTGAACTAGAACTGAACTAGAACTGAACTAGAACTGAACTAGAACTGAACTAGAACTGAACTAGAATTGAACTAGAACTGAACTAGAACTGAACAAAAACATTTTTATAAAAACACTATAAAAGAAGAACTGAATTCTCGTTTATACCTTCCTTCTAAATAGTATGAAACTGATATCTTTAAAATTTTCTAAAATTTCAATGTTGCCCTACATTATACACATTTGCAAAATCGCCTAATACGTTTCACTCAATTTTTTTTTGGTACAACCTTAACCCGTTTCAAAGCGCACAAAAACAAAAAAAAATAGCAAAATAAAATTAAAAAAAAAAACACTAAACAAAAACAAACAAAAAAAAAAACTAAAATAACTTAAATATAAATAATAATTCACAGATAACTTTCATGATGGTTACATAATAAATTGAGTTTTTTTTCTTGTGTTGAAATTCTAAATGTTTTCTTCTTTCTTTTCTACCATTTCTATCATAAATTTCTTCTGGTGGCGACCATGTAATACAAATTATTGACAATCTTCCTCTTCTAATATCTCAAAATCACTTTCATCGGATGAATCTAAAGCGGTGACAAGACGTCTGTGTGTAGAATCGTGTATAGGACCACTTTGTGTGGGAATACCACCAGCACCTACGCCCAAAACTCCCTGAACCAAACCCGACATAAGGGTAGGTATCAGTTTACTGCTATTAGCCAGAAAAGCTTGAGTTTGGGACTTAACAGCCATGGCCACTAAATCATTGGCCTCTAGTTGCCCCGCTGCACCAGGTCTGGCCACCACTGTTGAAGATGAAGTCCTAGACTTTGAGGGACCATCAACGGCGGTGTGATCGGGGAATTGTAGGCCTTTCGAAAGACTTTCCTCCGACGATGAAGAAGTGGTCGATAGTGAGGAGTCACGCTTAAAGTGACCCTTTTTAAATTCTATAGTATCTTCAGACTGCGAGTATTTAACTGACGCATCTGAGGCGGGTAGGGAGTTCTTAATATGTGTCTCTGATTTTGACACCTGCACCACTGGTAGTAAATCATCTTGTTCATCATCTGTGGAATTTTCATCGATTTCTGGTATAGAATCTGGTATCAAGAGTTCTGAAGGTATTTCATCACTTTTATCCTCATCATTATCGCCATCTTCGGTTGGCAATGTTAGAGAGGCCAAATCACTAGCTCTTTCCAAAACAAATAAATTGCTTTCATTTACCTCGGGCATAAATTCATCATCTAGTTCATAGTCGTGTTGTTGTAACTTTTCGGACCAGGCAAAATCTAGATCTGAAATTTTAAGATTTTTATATAAAAAATATTCGTTTTTATTTCCATTTTAATCATCGTACCTTTTGGTTCAATTTTTATTATTTTAAAATTATATTTTGTTGATATTATGGCCGCTACTATTAAACCCGTCAATACCACCATAGACCCGGATACCAAATGACCCACTACAGCCAAAGCTGCCAAACATCCTGAAGCTATGGCACAAAACATTGTTGGTTTAGTTTGTCTAAATTCAATTATACGTTGCTGCACCAATTGCAGATGTTTTTCCAATTCTGGTGGTGTTTGTATGCGCAGATTACAGCGATTTTTATAGAACCAAAAACCAAATATCACCAAAAATATCAGGCCCAAAGGTCGTATGTGTATCCTGAAAACAAATTAAAAAAATGAGTTTATTGTAATAATTCAATCAATATTGTTAATTAAAATCTTAAGACATCCATATTTATAATTTGAAATTTTAAGGGTCAAAGGCCAAAGAAATCTTGTTCCAATTAGTAACATTTTACTCAAAATAACCGACCACAGAACTAAAGCTATTGAACTAGAACTGAACTAGTGCTGGACTATTGAAATAGAACGGAATTAGAACTGAATTAGAACTGAACTAGGAATGAAGTAGAACTGAAATAGAAATAACTGAACTAGAACTGAACTAGAACTGAACTAGAACTGAACTAGAACTGAACTAGAACTGAACTAGAACTGAACTAGAACTAGAACTGAACTAGAACTGAACTAGAACTGAACTAGAACTGAACTAGAACTGAACTAGAACTGAACTAGAACTCAACTAGAACTGAACTTAGAACTGAACTAGAACTGAACTAGAACTGAACTAGAACTGAACTAGAACTGAACTAGAACTGAACTAGAACTTAACTAGAACTGAACTAGAACTGAACAAGAACTGACTAGAACTGAACTAGAACTGAACTAGAACTGAACTAGAACTGAACTAGAACTGACTAGACTGAACTAGAACTGAACTAGAACTGAACTAGAACTGAACTAGAACTGAACTAGAACTGAACTAGAACTGAACTAGAACTGAACTAGAACTGAACTAGAACTGAACTAGAACTGAACTAGAACTGAACTAGAACTGAACTAGAACTGAACTAGAACTGAACTAGAACTGAACTAGAACTGAACTAGAACTGAACTAGAACTGAACTGAACTAGAACTGAACTAGAACTGAACTAGAACTGAACTAGAACTGAACTAGAACTGAACTAGCAACTAGAACTGAACTGAACTACTAGAACTGAACTAGAACTGACTAGAACTGAACTAGAGAACTGAACTAGAACTGAACTAGAACTAGAACTGAACTAGAACTGAACTAGAACTGAACTAGAACTGAACTAGAACTGAACTAGAACTGAACTAGAACTGACTAGAACTGAACTGAACTGAACTAGAACTGAACTAGAACGGAACTAGAACTGAACTAGACTGAACTAGAAACTGAACTAGAACTGAACTAGAACCTAGAACTGACTAAACTGAACTAGAACTGACCTAGAACTGGAACTAGAACTGAACTAGAACTGACTAGAACTGAACTAGAACTGAACTAGAACTGAACTAGAACTAGACGGAAACTAGAACTGAACTAGAACTGAACTAGAACTGAACTAGAACTGAACTAGAACTGAACTAGAACTGAACCGACTGAACTAGAAACTGAACTTGAACTGAACTAGAACTACTAGAACTGAACTAGAACTGAACTAGAACTGAACTAGAACTGAACTAGAACTGAACTCGAACTGAACTAGAACTATGAACTAGAACTGAACTAAGAACTGAACTAGAACTGAACCAGAACTGAACTAGAAACTGAACTTGAACTGAACTAGAACTGAACTAGAACTGAACTAGAACTGAACTAGAACTGAACTAGAACTGAACTAGAACTGAACTAGAACTGAAACTAGAACTGAACTAGAACTGAACTAGAACTGAACTAGAACTGAACTAGAACTGAACTAGAACTGAACTAGAACTGAACTAGAACGAACTAGAACTGAACTAGAACTGAACTAGAACTGAACTAGAACTGAACTAGAACTGAACTAGAACTGAACTAGAACTGAACTAGAACTGAACTAGAACTGAACTAGAACTGAACTAGAACTAACTAGAACTAAACTAGAACTAACTAGAACTGAACTAGAACTGAACTAGAACTGAACTAGAACTGAACTAGAACTGAACTAGAACTGAACTAGAACTGACTAGAACTGAACTAGAACTGAACTAGAACTGAACTAGAACTGAACAAGAACTGAACTAGAACTGAACTAGAACTGAACTAGAACTGGACTAGAACTGAACTAGAACGGAACTAGAACTGAACTAGAACTGAACTAGAACTAAACTAGAACTGAACTAGAACTGACTAGAACTGAACTAGAACTGAACTAGAACTGAACTAGAACTGAACTAGAACTGAACTAGAACTTAACTAGAACTGAACTAGAACTGAACAAGACTGACTAGAACTGAACTAGAACTGAACTAGAACTGAACTAGAACTGAACTAGAACTGAACTAGAACTGAACTAGAACTGAACTAGAACTGATCTAGAACTGAACTAGAACTGAACTAGAACTGAACTAGAACTGAACTAGAACTGAACTAGAACTGAACTAGAACTGAACTAGAACTGAACTAGAACTGAACTAGAACTTGAACTAGAACTGAACTAGAACTGAACTAGAACTGAACTGGAACTGAACTAGAACAGAATGAACTAGAACTAAATGAACCAGAACTGAATGAACTAGAACTGAATGAACTAGAACCGAATGAACTTGAACTGAATGAACTAGAACTGAATGAACTAGAACTGAATGAACTAGAACTGAATGAACTAGAACTGAACTAGAACTGAACAAGAACTGAACTAAACTAGAACTTCTCTAGAACTGAACTAGAACTACTCTAGAACTGAACTAGAACTACTCTAGAACTGAACTAGAACTACTCTAGAACTAAACTAGAACTACTCTAGAACTGAACTAGAACTACTCTAGAACTGAACTAGAACACAAATAAAACGAAACTTCAGTCAATGGTCTCGGCACATTTGATACGATGTTAGTTAAAATTTACACTTAGAATTTTTAAGGATCAGTTACTTTTAAACTCATTATTATTAAATGTCGCCATTTAATAATATTGCAAAATCATTCCTCCTAACTAACTCTTTTAATTCTATAACCCGGTTCAAGGTTACTTTATTCATTCCGTATTATTGGCTAGAGTTCAAAATTGTTTTGTTCATTGTTTAAATGCAATGCAAAACATTATAAAAACAATGCAAATGAAATTAAATAAACTTTGTTAGTGTTTTATTTTTCTTCACTTTTCCTCGTTTTCTTATTATTTGCAAAACAAATCAAATTAATATAAATTAAATAAACAAAATTGTATTCATACAAAATACATCGAAATATATTATCAAATATCTTTAATCGATCAATTTGCAAAAAAAAAAAAAAACTTTCGTTTTACATCATTTAACAGTTGTGGCAATACGCTTGCCAAAAACCATATAAAATGATCGACAATTTGACTCAATATTTTGTGTTTTATTGTGTCTTTGTTGAGCTGAATACTAAGATCGTCTCCTTAGGTCATTTGCAAACGTCAACGTAAAATTTATATTGAAAAAGTAACTATAAAAATGATTAATGTGTTTGTATTTTTATTACTTGTTAATAATATAATTAAATAGTAATTATTAATAAATAATAATAACAAATTGTAACATTTGACTTTGTCCGAAGATTATGAACAAATTGTTGTTTCTTTAGTTATAGTTGAGAAGTTTTCGAATTGAAATGAGTAATTTTTAAATCCAATTAACTAACTAATTACTTAGAACTACAACTGCACCAAAACTGAACGAGAACTGAATGATAGCTGAACTACAACTAAACTAGAACTGAACTAAAACTAAACTAAAAACTGAACGAGAACTGAATGAGAACTGAACTAGAAATGGATTAGAACAGAACTAAGACTGATCTGGAACTGAGCTAGAACTGAACTGGAACTGAACTAGAACTGAACTAGAACTGAACTAGAACTGAACTAGAACTAGAACTGAACTAGAACTGAACTAGAACTGAACTAGAACTGAACTAGAACTGAACTAGAACTGAACTAGAACTGAACTAGAACTGAACTAGAACTGAACTAGAACTGAACTAGAACTGAACTAGAACTGAACTAGAACTGAACTAGAACTGAAATAGAACTGAACTAGAACTGAACTAGAACGAACTAGAACTGAACTAGAACTGAACTAGAACTGAACTAGACTGAACTAGAAACTGAACTAGAACTGAACTAGACTGAACTAGAACTGAACTAGAACTGAACTAGAACTGAACTAGAACTGAACTAGAACTGAACTAGAACTGAACTAGAACTGAACTAGAACTGAACTAGAACTGAACTAGAAACTGAACTAGAACTGAACTAGAACTGAACTAGAACTGAACTAGACTGAACTAGAACTGAACTAGAACTGAACTAGAACTGAACTAGAACTGAACTAGAACTGAACTAGAACTGAACTAGAACTGAACTAGAACTGAACTAGAACTGAACTAGAACTGAACTAGAACTGAACTAGAACTGAACTAGAACTGAACTAGAACTGAACTACTGAACTAGAACTGAACTAGAAACTGAACTAGAACTGAACTTAGAACTGAACTTAGACTGAACACTGAACTAGAAACTAGAACTGAACTAGAACTGAACTAGAACTGAACTAGAACTGAACTAGAACTGAACTAGAACTGAACTAGAACTGAACTAGAACTGAACTAGAACTGAACTAGAACTGAACTAGAACTGAACTAGAACTGAACTAGAAATGAACTAGAACTGAACTAGAATTGAACTAGAACTGAACTAGAACTGAACTAGAACTGAACTAGAAATGAACTAGAACTGAACTAGAACTGAACTAGAACTGAACTAGAACTGAACTAGAACTGAACTAGAACTGAACTAGAACTGATCTAGAACTGAACTAGAACTAAACTGGAACTAAACTGAACTAGAACTAAAACTGAACTAGAACAGAACTAGAACTGAACTAAAACAGAACTAGAACTGAACTATAACTGAACTATAACTGAACTAGAACTGAACTAGAACTGAACTAGAACTGAACTAGAACTGAACTAGAACTGAACTAGGACTGAACTAGAACTGAACTAGAACTGAACTAGAACTGAACTAGAACTGAATTAGAACTGAACTAGAACTGAACTAGAACTGAATTAGAACTGAACTAGAACTGAACTAGAACTGAACTAGAACTGAACTAGAACTAGAACTGAACTAGAACTGAACTAGAACTAGAACTGAACTAGAACTGAACTAGAACTGAACTAGAACTGAACTAGAACTGAACTAGAACTGAACTAGAACTGAACTAGAACTTAACTAGAACTGAACTAGAACTGAACTAGAACTGAACTAGAACTGAACTAGAACTGAACTAGAACTGAACTAGAACTGAACTAGAACTGAACTAGAACTGAACTAGAACTGAACTAGAACTGAACTAGAACTGAACTAGAACTGAACTAGAACTGAACTAGAACTGAACTAGAACTGAACTAGAACTGAATTAGAACTGAACTAGAACTGAACTAGAACTAGAACTGAACTAGAACTGAACTAGAACTGAACTAGAACTGAACTAGAACTGAACTAGAACTGAACTAGAACTGAACTTGAACTAGAACTAAACTAGAACTGAACTAGAACTAACTAGCCAACATTAAAACTATATTATATATAATTATTTATGTAACAACAACAAAAATTTATCGCCTTCATCATTCATTATCATCAGCTGTTTAGACTCCAACGATAATCATAAATACACCAACAAAATCAAAACAACAATTATTAAACAAGGGATGGAAAATTCACTGCTATTGTACTTTTTCAGTAATTTAGTCCATATACTATTTTACAGACTGGTCTGTAGATTAGTCCATAGGCTATACAATAGACTATCCCATAAACCCTAAAAATTATAAAAAAATTTTTAAATTATTAGTTATTAAAAATTTAAATTTATCATGTTGAAGAAGTTGCTGTTTCTTTTTGGTGTAGGTTAGTACTACATATTAAAACATTTCTATTTCCCATGTCTGGTTCAAACTATAAAAACGCAAAAACAAATTGTAAATAAACATAATGCGGAAAAAACTCACACAATATTATTAAAAATGTATAAACAAATGTATAAATATAAAAAAAACCTGATTCTTAGTGTTTATCTGTAAACAAATTAATGCGTAGTAAAAAAAATTTTTTCTGAACATAATTTTCTTTCATTTCTACTTTTGGAATAGAATTTAATCTACGCAAAATAATAAAATGAAACAAATAAAAACAATAGTTTTGTTTATAACAATAACAAAAACTTTGTATTTATTTGCTTTAATAAATATTTTGCTAAAACAATAAACAAAACATTTACATATTTAACAAGAATGTTTAAAATTGGAATAGAATGAAATTAAAATTTGAACAAATTTTCTATAGAAGAAACTATTTTCCATAAAAAGAAAATATTACAAAAAGAAAATTTAAGGGAAGTTTTCTCTAAATAAAAATATTTAATAAAAATTAGAAATTTTAACAATAATTAAGTCCAGGCGGATATTAGGACTTACCAATTAAATTTTATTTATGTTATTTTTCAACTAGCACTATAACACTTTTAGGATATTTAAATATTATTGAAAACTATAAATGTTGATTTTTTTTTTTCAACTTTTTGCAAATTTCCAATATCTTTTTTTAAAATTTAAAAAAAAATATTTGTTATTTTTCACTACTGTTTCTCGTTTTTCGTTTGGTTGTCTACGTTGGCAGATTTTTTAAAACTAAACAGATTTTTAAAACTCAGATGATTAACAGTAAAGGATCTTCAATGATAATGTATTCCAGTTAATTTAAATTTTATAACAAAGAACTCGGATTATTTGTTAACTTACAATACAAACTTTGATATTTTAAAAATGTTTGTTGGTAAAATTAGTTGATAATTAATTAAAATAATAATGAAATTGCTTCGAAATACTAATCAGGAAGAAGACAATGAAATTGATGAGATAAAACACGTTGAAACAAAACAAACAGACGCGGGGCGACACACGGACTTATAGGGATTGATGTATATAGAAGCGACACTACGATCTATTGATCTAAAGACAAACTAGCGACGAGCGAGCGAGCGAGCGAGCGAGCGAGCGAGCGAGCGAGGAGCGAGCGAGCGAGCGAGGAGCGAGCGAGCGAGCGAGCGAGAGAGCGAGAGCGAGCGAGCGAGCGAGCGAGCAGCGAGCGAGCGAGCGAGGAGCGAGCGAGCGAGCGAGCGAGCGAGCGAGCGAGAGAGAGCGAGCGAGCGAGCGAGCGAGCAGCGAGCGAGCGAGCGAGCGAGCGAGCGAGCGAGCGAGCGAGCGAGCGAGCGAGCGAGCGAGAGCGAGCGAGCGAGCGAGCAGCGAGCGAGCGAGCGAGCGAGCGAGCGAGCGAGAGAGCGAGCGAGCGAGCGAGCGAGCGAGCGACGAGCGAGCGAGAGCGCGAGCGAGCGAGAGAGCGAGCAGCGAGCGAGCGAGCGAGCGAGCGAGCGAGGGCGAGCGAGCGAGCGAGCGAGCGAGCGAGCGAGCGAGCGAGCGAGCGAGCGAGCGAGCGAGCGAGCGAGCGAGCGAGCGAGCGAGCGAGCGAGAGAGAGAGAGCGAGCGAGCGAGCGAGAGAGCGAGCGAGCGAGCGAGCGAGCGAGCGAGCGAGCGAGCGAGCGAGCGAGCGAGCGAGCGAGAGCGAGCGAGCGAGCGAGCGAGCGAGCGAGCGAGCGAGCGAGCGAGCGAGCGAGCGAGCGAGCGAGCGAGCGAGCGAGCGAGCGAGCGAGCGAGCGAGCGAGCGAGCGAGCGAGCGAGCGAGCGAGCGAGCGAGCGAGCGAGCGAGCGAGCGAGCGAGCGAGGAGCGAGCGAGCGAGCGAGCTAGCTAGAGAGCGAGCGAGCGAGCTAGATCGAGCGAGCACAGCAGCGAGCGAGCGAGCGAGCGAGCGAGCTAGCGAGAGCGAGCGAGCGAGCGAGCGAGATAGCGATCGAGCGAGCTAGCGAGCTATATCGATCTATCATATCTATCTATCTATCTATATCTATCTATCTATCTATCTATCGATCTATCATCTCATCTATCTATCTATCTATCTATCTATCTATCTATCTATCTATCTATCTATCTATCTATCTATCGGTGTTATTATAATTAGAGCTTTAAGTTCTTAGAAACCTTCTAATATCTAGTTTAAGTAATAATTTATCTAAAAACCCCAAAACTAGATATCGGATGTTTAATTTTATTTTAATTTTTATTCGAATCTGTGCAATAATTTTTATGATATTTAGGGGACTGTTCCTCAGTTTATATGAGTATATTTTTTATGCAGATTTAATATTCTGTGGAATTTGAACTGACTATTTATTGGATTTGTTTAATGCTATTTAAAATGCAGAAATAAAAAAAAATGTTTTAAACATTTTGAATTTTGAATACAGGAATGACACAGTAAGCTATTAACACACATAAATTGGATTGCGGTTAAAAGTTGAATGACATTTGGGGGTTTGTATACATTCTAATGACAACTTGTGGTTTAGGTTAATTCTAATATACTATATCAACTTTATTCTCTTGAATGCAAATTTGATGTCTGAAACTTATGCGATGAGGTTTCTATTCCTGTTGGGATTTTTTGCACAACTCCAGCTTGTCAACATCATATACAAGGGCAAACAAAGTTAGATTGTTCCTTGTTAGGTTCCACATTTAATATTTTCCACCCGTTTTGGATTTGTGGATTTAATTTTAGTAGTTGAAATGGTTTTGCGATTTCGAATCAAAAACCTCCATGTTTACCACTTTGACATGCAATCACTTGTGTAATTAATTCAATTAAACGTTTGTTTCATTGTGAAATTAATTAATTAATTCATTCATTCGAAATATTCCAATATTTATTCTTTTGTTTGTTAATAATTTTAGTTAGGCTTTTATTATTAATATTTTTCTTTTATAAATTTTTTGTTAATATAAATAATTGAAAAATCACATGTTTTGATTTTGCTTTATTTTTTTTTAAATATTTGTTGTTTTTTTAATTTTAATTAGCTGGTATAAGTCACGTTCTAAAGTATCTAGTAAATCTATATAATTTAATTATTTATTATAACTACAAGTTGGGATAGACACAAGGGGAAACGAAATAAAAAATTCCCAACATTTTGTCGATTTTGCGATAAGACGATAATGATGCTATAGATGGTGTGTTTTTAAATTATTTTATAAAGTATATGCATATGGTAAGAGATACGTAAGCATTGAAATTGTATTCACTTTCGTCGTCTCAATGACAATTTGCATAATCAGCTGATTTCAAGGGCGTAGTTTATTTCTTATTTCCAGGTAGGGGCTAGATATTAAAATAAATATTTATATAAAACACAATTTTTATTGTTTTCATCACAATTTCCCATCACATGTCCCCTCTTAAAAACAGATCCTGCCACGCCTGTGACAGATCTTTACAAAACAAAATCAATATTTTATTTATAATTACTGCAGTATAATTATTTTATTTTGCTTTTTCATTTACACTGAATTGAAGAGGAAATGTTTATGAAATAATTATTATATTTTAAACATTTCTTTGTTTTAAAAATGTTTATATTTGTTTTGTAATTACGGATCAATAAGTACTTTATATAATTTTGTATTGAAATTTATTACAAGCTTGTTTGTCAACTTGCGGGAAGTTGATAACAAAACTTTTTTTAAAGTATAAGTTGTTTATATATATTTTTAATTTATAGCAAAATAACAAGTTATTTGAAGAAATATATACAGCAATACCAGAGTATAACGAATCATATATTCCAATATCATAGGTGATCACTTTCAAGTTTTACTGTTCGTAGTAATTGAAATTGTAACAGATTCGTGTATTATATTTTAAAACAAAATTTCGTTGCCAAAAAAAAAACTCAACTCTATTAATTATGCCAACGTGATTTGTTTACGAATTAGTTTGTTATTATTTCGTATATATTTAATAAATATCTGAATATTTAAACACGCAATGGAAACTTGTTTTTTTCAAAAGATTCTAATAAGTATTACAATAATGAAATTGAAATTTACGAGTTCTTTACTTTTATTAACAAAAAAATCCTTTTGTAACCATTACCAATATAAAATTATAAATGTTGTGTGTAAATGGTTTTAAATATAGATTCAGGTCTGGTATAGAAAGAATTCCATTCTGATCGAAAACAAAATACAGAAAAAAATTCCAGTTTCGATTGGAATGGAATTCTATAACAGGTCTGATAACAGGCATGGAAAATTGTCATTTGGAAATACTAGAAATTTTTACTTTTCTAGGTTTTATAACTAGACTTTAAACTACACTATAGACTAGAATATAGACTAAACTAAAGACTGGACTATAGACTAGACTATAGACTAGACTATAGACTAGACTATAGACTAGACTATAGACTAGACTATAGACTAGACTATAGACTAGACTATAGACTAGACTATAGACTAGACTATAGACTAGACTATACACAGAAAAAAATATGCACAATTTTTTTCTTAACAATCGTTTGCTTAAATTTAATTTCGATTTTTATAAATATTTTTATTTGGGTTTATAACGAATTTGTTTGATGTTCACACAGAAGGAAAATATTTTCTAGCAAACACTTTATTGAAATAAATTTAACTTTCAGTAAATATTTTTACTGATTCAATAAATGTTTTTGTTTGAGTTTTATTTTTATGTCAGCATATGGAATACAACAATAAAACCAGTTTTGGAATGTACTAAAATGAATTGATATAATTCTTATTTGGTTTATAACATTTAATGTATAAGTGTTTCAGTTTTCACAGTACAAAATAATAGTTTCTAGAATTAGAAACGTTTTCTTAAAAATGTTGTAAGTATATATGTAATTTTTTTACTACTTTTAGTTTTAAATATTTTTTGTAAAATTTTTGTTAAAATTTAGTATATATTTTTTAACAAAATTTTTATAGATTCAATAAAAAATTTTCTTATTATTATTGCCAAAATACAATAAATAATTTAACTGTTTCAGATAACATATTTGCTTGAATTTCAGTACAAATACTAATAACTTGTGTTATTGTTTCAGTAAAATAATTGTTTGGAAATGTTGCGATTATTTATTAATGTTTTTCGTAAATTATTTTAATAATTATTTTAATATATTATTTTAATAAGAAAAATCCTGAAATTTTTTCAATAAAGAATTTACGAATTTGAGTACTTGATTTTACGAATTTCGTGATAGGTCCTATTTTAGTAAAAAAAATACTTGGCTTTATGAATTTTTTGTTTGATTTTGAATTCCATTTTTTTCTGTGTAGACTAGACTATAGACTAGACTATAGACTAGACTATAGACTAGACTATGGACTAGACTATAGACTAGACTATAGACTAGACTATAGACTAGACTATAGACTAGACTATAGACTAGACTAAAGACTAGACTATAGACTAGACTATAGACTAGACTATAGACTAGACTATAGACTAGACTATAGACTAGACTATAGACTAGACTATAGACTAGACTATAGACTAGACTATAGACTATACTATAGACTCGATTATAGACTAGAATATAGACTAGAATATAGACTAGAATGTAGACTAGACTATAGACTAGAATATAGACTAGACCAGACTATAGGCTAGACTAGACTATAGACTAGACTATAGACTAGACTATAGACTAGACTATAGACTAGACTATAGACTAGACTATAGACTAGACTATAGACTAGACTATAGACTAGACTATAGACTAGACTAT